TTGTACAAACTAGTACTTTTTTTTGGTCTTTTTGAGACAGGGTCTCCCTGTAGCCCCAGCAGTGTTGGAACTTACTATGAGCAGGCTGGCTTTGAACTCACAGACATCTGCGTGCCTCTGCCTCCCAAGTGCTGGGATCAAAGGTGTGCATTACCACACCCAGCACCAGTATTTGTTTTTTGTTTTCTTTGGTCTTTTTGAGACAGGGTCTCCCTGTAGCCCCAGCAGTGTTGGAACTTACTATGAGCAGGCTGGCTTTGAACTCACAGACATCTGCGTGCCTCTGCCTCCCAAGTGCTGGGATCAAAGGTGTGCATTACCACACCCAGCACCAGTATTTGTTTTTTGTTTTCTTTGGTCTTTTTGAGACAGGGTCTCCCTGTAGCCCCAGCTGACCCGTACTCACTATGTAGACCAGGCTGGCCTTGAACTCACAGAAATCCGCCTGCGCTGGGACTAAAGGCATGCGCCACCACGCCCGACTTCAGTATTTGTTTTTTTAAAAGAACTACAAAGCACACAGGAAAATGTACTTGGAGAAATGTGAACACCCTGCTAACAAAATGGTCCCTGCTTCTAACAGCTGGCAACACATTCAAACATCCATATGCATTGGAGACAGCAGGAACTTCAGTTGTTAAGCATGTCCCATTTCCTTTGGATGAGCCAGCACTGCACCTAATGCATACAGAATAAATGGGTGCCCAAATCTTCTCAGAAAGCAACGAAGCAAAAGTGATTCTTAGTCTTTAGAGAATTTCCTTGCTCCTGGGGAGATTTTGGAGCACGAAAACAGCACTGAATTGACATCCAGATCTCCTGTGCTGATGATGTCATTTTGAAAGCAGTCACTTCTGCTGTTAGTCACTCTGCAAATACTTTGGGGCGTGGTCCTACTCAGTGTAGGTGCTATGCTCTCATTTACTTATGATTCTATTAGTTCTTTAAATGGAGGAGTAAACCAAGCAGGGTTAAATGCGTTTGTCCAATGCAATGGAGCAAGTGAGTAGCAGCACTTGGAGATGTTCAAAGTGTGTGTCTTCAGCTACTCTCGGATCAGGGCTTGGCATACTCTTTCCTTAAAGGGCCAGAGATGACGTATTTTAGGTTTTGAAGATCATTCAATGTCTGTCACAATGACTCATGTCTGCTGCGGTAGTGAGAACGTAGCCCTAGGAAAGCATGTGGCTGTGTGGCAATAAGCTTTATCCTTAACCACAGGAAGCAGCCTCTGGTTTGTTTCACCTGCATTTGGTTTAAGCTTTACAGGGAAGGGGCTCTGAGTGCTTGGGAGAATGGTTATGGATGCAATCAGCTAACAAGACTGTCTTAAGATAGTGGTGTCTATCTGTTCAGAAGTCACAATGTAGCTGGGAAGATCTATTTTTTTAATGGTGAAAATAATGCAGGGTCAAACTCGAGTGGGTGCTGCAGATTCCATGGGGCGCTGTACCACGCTGCCTCTTGCACCGCAGGCCCTGTGGCTACAGGACGCTACACTGTACTGTCTCTTGCACTATGGCCCTATGGCTCCTGGCAGTGTACCGTGCTGCTTAGTGTATTGGTATTGACAACACAGTTCCTCAGATGCTAAGGCTCGCAGCTGAATGTCCACTTACCATCATATTCTGGGAAGTAATCAACTAGGTGGGAATACATGATTTTCTCCTCTAGAAGATCCTTCTTGTTTAAGAATAGAATAACCGAGGAGTTCTGGAACCAGGGATAGGTGATGATTGTTCTAAAGAGTGCTTTGCTTTCTTCCATTCGGTTCTAGGGAAAAGAAAACCAGAGAAACAAGGAATGAACTATTGATTTCTTGGCCTTTGAACTGTCTTTACTTTTTGAGTCTAATCCATCATCTGTGTGATTCCAATTTTTAAAGCCTAAGTTGGTCCTGTCAGGATTAATATGTGAGTGATTCACGGTGTACATTGCACATGGGTTGTTTTCACTATGCAAACTCTCCAGTTGGCAAGAACAGTAATAAAATACCTGCTAAAATAACTTTTCTGAAAAAATAATCAGAGCCTAGACGATTGTACCTGAAATACTGTCATGAATTTTAACTAAAAATATTCTAAATACCAGGTTTCATTTTGCATTTTATAAACTGTATTTATTTGTAGCCTCACAATTAGCTTTAGTTTAAGATTCAAAAGAAGTTAATTATTTGCCCAAAATGTAGTCATACTTCTAGAGTCATTGCTACCAGAAATATACACGACACACTGTTTAACAAGCCACTGTGGGCTGTTCTTCACGCACTTTCTTCTTATGTTTCACTCTAAGTTTTTACATAGCTATGGAGATACTCAAAACTATCTAGAGATAAAAATGCAATACTTCTTCTGTAAGCACTTGTAAGTGTTCTTACTTGAAGTTACACCTTCAAGTCTACTTTGCTAACAGATTCTAGTGGTTTCCCAAGGAAATTAGCCAGCTTGTTTGCATAAGTAAAGACGCTAAGTGAGGGTACTTAGAGCACAGTCATTCTTCATACCCCTCAGGCAAATGCCAAGAGCCCTACATTCTCACACATGCCCACTTGCCACTCTAGGACGGAAGATGTGGGAGATTACTCTTGGCTGAGTGAGGGTTAAGGGCCTGTACATGAACACCTGTTAAGACTACACTCTCCGACACTCTTCCTTGGCACTTGCTGTGACTGAGCTTTCCTAGTGAAGATGAAGTCTGCTGGGGCTGGAGCCCATCACCATTGTTTAAGCCATAGAATCGTGCCCGTCACAGGGGCTGGCTGAGGTCCGGTTGCCACCTTGTGAAGTTTCCCTTCTTAGGCACATGGCAATCAGTTTAGCCAAGCACTTCACCAGGCCAGTCAACCCCAGGACTTTTTCTGGGTGCTGAAGAACAGGGAACCTTGCTTTCACAAACAATGTGAAAGAGGAATGAAGAGGCCTAAGAAGCTTCTGGCAGCCAGCTTGAAATGGAGAGAAAGGAAAGCAGGCCTAGTTGCTTGCTTGGGCCATGCATGGCTTGGCCTTGCCTCTGAACTCAGAAAGCAGTTAATAAGCACTTTTTTTATTTTTAATTTTTTTTAACTTTTGCTACTTTTTTTTTCTTTAGATTTTTACTGCATAAAGTACTTCTAATTGATACACTTGGATATATCCTCCTTTCAACCCGTAAAAGGAATTGAATGACCATTAGGGTTTGAGTTGTTCATGTCATCTGTTCAGTTTTCTTTCTTACTGTAGGATATACTCTGTCACACTACAGGGCAGCAGAAGCCATACTATGATAGGTCAAGAGGCCTCCAGGACACTCATCAAGCACAACTTCCTAGATCAGAGCATGTCTTGATCTTTCTTCTGTGAAGTGACAGCTCAGATTAAGTTGAAAAGCTGTTTTACAAAGCAGATCTTACCCCAAATCAAATTATTAAAATTATTTTTAGATTTATTTAGTATGTGTGATCTTGCACATGTGTGACTTGACACGTGTATAGAGATCAGAGGACAACTTGTGGGAGGTAATGCTTTCCACCATGTGGGTTCCAGGAATTGAACTCAGGTTGTCAGGCTTGGTGGCAAGCACCCTTATCCACTGAGCCATATTGTCAGGCCACCAAATCAAATAATTTTAGATAAATTAAAGAATGAAGGTTGATATAGTACTATAAAGATCACTTTATAGCTCAAGCAACAGAGTTCACTTCATGGTATACATTTCTCTTTCATATAAATGACCCACATGCTTTAAATATCTTTACTTTCTACCTGCCTTTACTGGTTAGCACAGGCAGTGGTAATTTTATTTTATTTATTATTTATGTTTTTGAGAAAGATTCTTGCTGTACAATGAGGGTTGGCCTCAAACTCAGGATCCTTCAGCTTCAGTTTCCCAATGCTGGAATTAAAGCAGGTGCCACTACGTCTGGCTTGAATTTTAATCTCTGGAGATTATATTCTCTGTCATAAAGCTTTAGATTTTATAGATTGAAAATTTCAGGACCAGAAGAAAAAAGTCCCAAGAAAAGCTGAAAAAACTGAGAAGAGAGTCTACACTAGGCTGATTAAAGAGTAGGGTCCCTAGAGGAGACAGGTAGCATTTTTTCTATGTATCAGTAGAGAGACTCTAGAAAGCTCTACTGTGGTTCTTAAAGAGGCCGTTTTAAGGGTGGTATGCATGGTTAAGTCCCTTAGTTAGAAAGATTTACTTCTTTCTGTCCTAATTCTCCACAAGGGCCTGCTGGCTCCTAGGGAAGAGACTACACTGGGCCTTTTCCTAGTTGGAGTCCCTCCAGGGTAAGTGGCTAGAGCCTCGGTGAGGAAGAGGAACATGTCTCAGGCTTCTCTGACTGATTAAGTTCAAGTTTGAACTGAGTTCTTAGACTCCAGTGAGATTTGTGGGAGGGTGGGGGGCAGTGTCCCAAACCAGCATATAGGAGAGCTGCCAGGACAATCTCTCCTGAGTCCAGCCCTGGGTTCCAGAGACGACCTGCTTAGAGCTGTCACTGCCCAGGGTAGCAGCACCCAGGCCATACTGGTGGCAGTTTGCTCACTGACTAGTTCTGCTGGGTGTTCAGTCTGTAACTGCTCTAGGGTCTGGAACTGCTCTAGGATACTTCTGTTCATCTGGCTCCAGGTGAGCAGGGGTTTTGTCAACAAAGAGAAAGGAGAACCACTCTACCTCACTTTTACATAAGAAGTGAAACTCCACTATGTCTCTATTCCACAATCTAATTCTGATAGCGCCAGTTTCACTCCCTTATCCTCAAGAGCTCAGGTTCGCTCTTTAAGTTATGTGATTTTTTTAAACTCCATAGTAAAAACTCCTCAGAAGAAAGTATTTACAAGCCAATGTGCTCTGTATCACTGGGGGCTACATTCTAAGTGCACTGTGATTTTCACAATGTCTCACAAAGGCAGGGGAATGCAGAGTGTGAGGCACAATCACCTCTACTCAGACAATCCCAAACTGCAGAGGAACCGTGCGTCCCAGGAGATGTACAACACTGCTTTTTAGTAACCTGCCAGGGCGGGAGGTTTCAAGGAGAAAAACAAAAGAACAATGTATGAGATGTTGTGACTAATGATTTAAAAATGGAGATTTGTTCACTCTGAAGACAAAGTAGCCTGTGGGATGGAACTAATCTCACAGCCCTCTTTTCTTAGGTTTTTAATAGAAAGCGTCCAAGAAGATCAAAGAGAATCCAGTACCAGTCTCATTATCCTAGACACAGGCTTCTTGTTAACTGGGTGAACTGACTTCCACCTGGGCCCAACGAGGTTACTTCTGAACACAATGATTTGGCTGGGAAAGCTGGAACAGGGCAGAAGAGATGGAATGGGCCTGCCAAAGCAGGTCCTGGCCGGTCTGTACTCCCCTTTGGGGTCACAGAGGAAGGCCCAGTTCATAGAGAGAGGTAAACGCTAGAACCAGCAAAATAGCAACATTCAACTGGGAGCATTCACCTCCAGTCCTGGCCAGGCCACCTGTTCCCTGTCTGTAATTGCCAGCAGGGCTGTGTGGCCAGGAATGCCTTTCTTCCTATGGTTGAAGCCACAAGCGAGAGTTCCTTTTTAAAAAAATATTTTATTTATTATTTTTATTTTATGTGTATGAGTGTATTGCCTGCATGTATGTGAGTGCATCCGTGTCATGCAATGCCACAGAGAACAGAAGGCGGCTTCTGATTCCCCTGGAACTGGAATTAAGATCGGTTCGTAGATGCAATGTGGGTGCTGGGAATCGAACCTGGGTCCTTTGCAAGAGCAGTCAGTGCTCTTAACCGCTGAGCCATCTCTCCAGCCCCACAAGTTAGAGTTCTTACACATCAAGTCATTTCTCAAAATGTACTGCTTTGTACTGCAACTCCTGCTAATAGAGGACTGGTTAATGCTGCCCACAGGCTGAAGTGCCAGTCCTAGACCAGAATTCATGACTTGGTATAGTCTGACTCACATGCCTATTAAATCTGAGCCCTTCCATAAACACTCTCCTGCAGATAAAGAGATCTACTGTCATTGCCAGCATACACTGTGACTGCACTTTCCTGGCCTACAAGGCTGTCCCGATGATTGATCTTTCAAGCCCCGGGCAACTGGCCTCCCCCAAGCCATCCTCTGCCTGTTGCTCCTTCCCTCCACCAGACACTCGCTGTGTTATTCTTGGTCCTCTCATGATTCAGTGGACACAAGTGCTTGTTGGATGCTAAGTATGAATGCTGGTGACACAGCTCCTGCCTGGACTGAACAACTGCAGAACTAAGGTCCACACAGGGATGAATGGTGTGACTCTGAGCGGGTCAGGGCGGGATTAAAAGCAAAGGTCATTTTGCATTGATTCTTGACAGAGTGAGGGATTACAAATAAGAAAGCAGAGCAAAAGACAAGCAAAGGGAAATGCAGGCCAGGACTCCTCGAAGGGATCTGTGAAAATTCTGAATGAAGCAGTTCACTGGGGCTTCCGATTTCAGGAACTTGTGCATCAAATAAGAAAATCCTGTTATGAGTATGGAAAACATTTCTTACTTATTTGAATGGTATGTTGGGGATAAAGATGGTGCAAACATAGTAAGTTTCATGAAGAACACACTGAGGATCCTAAAATAACTACTGTAATGGCAATGCTTGCCTGTCTCCAATGCTGGGAGGCAGGAGTCCATCAGGGGCTGTGTGGAACCACTCAGGTACAATGCACTGAGATGCAGTGACTGGCCTCCTTTCAGCTTAGGTACAAACATCTCTCACATCCAAGAAAATGCCAAAATCATTTGACAGAGCCCTTGTCCACAAGTTGAAGCTAGC